AAATTACCCAATTCTAAATGTAAAATTCCAACTGAACCATTACTTTCACTTAATACAAGTGAACGTGGCTGTTCATCAATACGTTTTTCACATAATGGTTATTTTCTTGCTTGTGCAGAAGTAAATAAATTACAACAAAATAATTTAATATCGATTTTTGAAGTAAATATTATTATTTGTAAATATTTACTAAATATTCAAAGGATTCTTTTCTAATAGATACCACATGATCAACGTGTAATTGTATTTACTGGACACTTACAAATGATTTATGATTTAGATTGGTCGAGAAGTGATCGTTATTTAGCATCGGCATCAGCCGATTCATCAGTCAAGTAAGATAGAAATTTTCAACGAACAAAAAATGCAATTATTTCGATTTCGATTAGGTGAAAGAATACTGTCTCGTATTACCAAAGAACAAAGGATTAAAATCTGTAATATAATCATGTTCTTAAGTTTTTCGATTATATGATAGGTTTCAATCATATGATAAAATTAAAAAAGCTAAACAGTATAATTTCTTGTGAAACATGATCTAAAATGCGTATTGAAGTTAGTGTTCTGCACTCGGTCCGACTCAAAGCATGGATTCGGGTGCCAGACATGAAAACAGTTTGGGTCGGATCCAGGTATGATCTGATATCCGGATCTGATCTAAAAGTTAATGAAATCTCAATGTTTCAAAACTCCTATTTATATAAAAGCGTACGAGTGAAAGCTAGGTGTGCAACAAATTTGAGACGTTGGGATTTGGTCTAGACATCGGTTTGGATTTCGCTTTGATCTCAAGTGACTCATATCCCAACCTATTTCTGTCGTTTTTATAAATCCATATCTCAAATCTGAAAAACCACTTTATTCGAGATGTGCTGTATCCTTAGTGAAAATCGATTCGATCATGATTGTGCTATTTATTAAACATGAGTACGAGTCACAGAAATGAAAGGCTATATTATTTTACTAAAAGAATTCATTTGTAATAAAAATTTATCTACAGATGATGGCGAATCATAAGAACAACTAATTGAATATACGAAGAGGAAAATAAATTATCTAAAAGGTGAACATTTATTATTGTGATAGAAAAAGAATTCATATATGACGTTTGATATCAACATTGAATTCCATTCTTCAGAATCATTAGCAACAAGAAAACATATACTTAGTGAACTTGATTGAATTTTAAAAAGCAGCAAGATACTAAGTGAATCTTGATTCACTTGTTTTTTTTTCTCGCTGTTTATGAAAAGAACTAAATAGTATACTTTTTCATATAAAACAAAAAGTTGAAAACCAGACTCTGATTGTGATCGGTTGAATATCGGGTGCAGCTATCTGGGTCCGGTTGCGAAAAATCGTACTCGTGTAGGACACTAGTCGAAGTGTAGGAGTCAAACGTGGTTGATATACGATCGAAGACCGTATATCAATATTGACTCGTTATAATAGATGAACTATTTCCTAATTGCATCTCAGAAAGATAAAGTAAAAGAATAGTGAAAAAAAGTGTCCCAAAATAGGTAAAAATAAAATAATCTCCTCCTAACAGCAATTACATCGTGCTTCACATTTTTATTCTGCAAGGATAGCTCTAACAGTTTTTTCAACTTAGGAGACAACCTCTTCAGCTGGTCACTTCTGATTTCAATAATTTTTTTTTTCTGCAGAATGTTTTAATAAAATCTGTAAAAAACGTTTCAATTTGACTAAGCTATTGAGTTTTTTTTCGAAAACTTTGTGTTTTCGAAAAACTTGTATTTTGATCTGAAACTTTGTGCATATAGAGAACTTAACTAGAATAGTTTCCATAAAAAAAATCGATAACTTGGTCAAACCCAAATACTTTTATGATTTTTATTCGAACACTCTACAGTAAAGAAAAATGATTGAAACTGGAAGAGATCCGTTGAAGATTTCCTCTCGTTAGATTAATGAAATCGAACCCAATACCTTCAGTGTCTTATAATATAGTATAAGAATATTTGTAGAATTTGGAATTTTGAAGAAATACAACGAAAACCATGGCGATCATTAGCTCATCCAAGTTATGTCTACTGTGTTCGTTTTCATCCATTAGATGAAGATATAATCGTCACAGCTGGTTATGATAAATTAATACGTATATGGCATATCGAAAAAAAACATGCAACTGTAAAATCATCTGTTTTTTTTTGGTCTTTTTTAATACATTCAAATTTAAAAACTTATTTATTATAGATAATACGAACAATGAATACTCATTCAGGATATATTAGTAGTCTATCATTTAATCCAGATGGTACACAACTAGCATCAGTTGATAGTATTGGTGCTATTAAAATTTGGCATGGATTACCAAATGCAACAAGTGCATCACACCGTATGCAAGATAAAATAAAATAAATAAATAAAAATTATCTATTGATTTATATTAATAGTATCTACTGATAGTTGGTCATTGTATTTAAATTTAGAAATTGATGAATTAAAAGTACAGAGAAATTTTTTAATTGAAAACAAAAAAAAAAGCTTTTTTTTTCTTTTATTGAATAGAATATTCCATTGAACAGTGTTACATATTCACCGGGTGATCATTTTTTATTAGTATCTGCTCGTGATAATTTAATTGTTTTAATTGATGTTCGAATGTAAGAAATCAAAAGAAAAAAAAATTATTTTTTTATTTGAAATATTTTTTTTCTGGTCTTATTCGTATAATTAGAAAAACAATTTCACGTCATTATACAGGAGCATTCAATTTACAAGATCGTATTCGTTCAACATTTTCAACATGTGGTTCTCTTGTTTTCGCTGGTAGTGAAGATGGACAAGTACATTGTTGGAATACATATGATGGAAAATTACTTTATTCATATAAAAATTTAAAATATACTCAACCAGTTGTTGATATACAATTTCATCCATTAGATAATATATTAGCAATGTGTTCAATTGGAACATTACATCAAGTTTATGTATTTCAACACACATTTGTTGATGCAGATATTGAAGCAAAACCATTATCACGACAATATACACCAAGAGGAGGAGGAGGATTATTACCAGTAACAACAACAACATCTATGGCTTTATCTGATAATGAACAAAAACCATCAGTAGTAACGAAAGATCGATATGACTCAAGTGCACGAGTTACTACTGCTTCAGATACAGACAGAAGTTTTGCAAAAACAAGAGTAGACAGTAGTGGTGATGAATTACGACCATCTAGGAATGAAAAAAGAAATCGACGATTAGCAGTTGTTAATAAAATGCTTGATGAAATGGATGATGTTATTGTGAGTAGAAAATTTTCCTTTCGTCAAAAAGTCAATTTTCGTCAGAAAAATAGAAATTGAGATGAAGAAGAAAAAAGGAAATCTTTTTTTTTTGCTTCTACGATCGCGTATTCCAAAAACTTGAAGGAACTTCATTGTAGCCAATAGCTTTTCTTTTGTTTGAAAGAACATGTGAAACTGTAGTGCCTGTTTTTCGAAATATTAAACTATCCATCCTTCTTCTCCACATAAAAAGTAAGGAACTAAAGGGACACTACAGTCTGACATGTTTTTTTAAAATAAAAAAAAACACTAAACCTATAGAATGAAAGTCTACAGAGAATTCTGAATTGTCAAAAAAACTACTTTTACGATGTGCAGTTTTAATGAAAATACAGACACTAATTCTATTGACAAATCCATACACTATGGATATGTCAGGCAAATCAGTGAACACCGATCGAGTGTGAATTTTCAGTGAACATTTTACTGAAACTACATAGCCATAGCTATTTTTGACATTTTTTTCTTGAATACCTCCTGAAATCGTCATGCCTGATCCAAAGTTGCTTTTTGAGGGCGGAGACTTATATAGTAGAATATTGAATAAAAATGATATTTTTGCAGAGTTTAAATTATTCATCTATCGATTAGGCATCCCCGGCCGATTAATCATTGCTCACTTAGTTACACATATTCGAAAAAAATAAAATAAAAATTCTATTCGATAGTATTTGCATTCTTATATTCTATAGATTTTGTTATTTTTACGATTGACATTTTACAGCAAGGATTTAAACTATAGGTGATTAATAATAACCTTTTTATTTTTCTTTGTCACAATAATCCTATGTTTTTGAAAGGGCAATCTAATATTTAATAATTAACAAGAAGATTAAAAAAAACCTTAAAATTTTGATTTAGAATGCTAAATCTAAAACAAATCGTCATCGAGATTCCATAACAGATTATGGTGGTGGTCATCTTATGTCACGTTCAACAGAACGTGATGTTTCACCATATCAAGGACGTCGAAATATTCCTACATCAGGTTATATTTCTGATTCAGGTCGACCACCAATTGTTAGTCCTTTACGTAATTTAACATCACCAGAACTTTTCGTACCTGTATCAAATCGAACTGATGATGATGATAATAATATTTCTGGAAAGCCTCCATTATCATCGAATCAAATCATGTATGCAACAACAAATTATAAAGCGCAACGTCCTGAAGAATTATCATTTTCAAAAAATGATAAAATTAAAATCTTACATAAAGATTCTCATTTGCTTTGGTATGCTGAACATGTTCAAACAGGTACACGTGGTTATGTTTCACCAAATCGTGTACATATAAATGCAAAAGAATCCTATTCGCATTTACAAAAATCATCCATGTCAAATGCAAATATACATTCAATTAGTGACATACCACGTTTAGATAATAGTAGTCGACGACTACAACAAAAGAGTGTGAAATTTGACAGTTCTGATTAGAGGGTTTCAACATGTCTTATATTGATTTGGTTGTTTTTATATTGCACATTTTAATGCAATATTTAAAATTATTCTTTTTTTTTTTTTTTGTTTTTTTTTCTACATTGTCTTAATTTAGATCGCTAATGAATATTTATAACCTAGATGAAATTAAGATGTTTCTTTTTTTAAATATTGTCTTACTTTTTTCTTTCTTATGTTTACATCGTTTTTTCTTTGTATTGAAGATAAATTTTCTAAATGACATTTCAAGCTGATAGATTTTATAATCCGAAAGATGGTACTTATGCAAATGTACCAATTATGCCAGTACATACAGAAAAATTTCGAGGTAAACGACAATATGGAACTGATGTTTTAATTGGAAATTGGTATGAAGATCGATCAAAAGTGAGTTTTATTATTTAAAATATCTGTGTCGAAACAAAAATTTAAAACATTATTAACTTTATTAAATATTAGGAAATGTTTAAAATGAAAGTATCTCTCATTTGTTAATCGCTATGAACCGCTATCAATGTTGTTTTTTTCAGAAATTTATTTATTCATAGCATAAAATATACTTAGAGTCGTAAGTCTGAGGAGTCAGTCCCAAAAGGGAACAAAGGCGACTCCGGTACTTGGGAAGTACTGAAATCGCGCTTTTTCCTATTTAGACAGGCGTCACTGTCATATAATCGCTCGCCGTAAATGTTGTTCTCATCCATTTGCCTACCTTTAGTCAAATTTCTTCCGTTTGTGTTCAAAAATAAAGCTTTCAAATATATTTTAATATTTCGTTCTATCATTACATTTTCATTCATCTATCACGAACTGTGAGTCAATATTGTTTATAGTTATGCCAATTTCACTTTTCATACTATTTTTACTTAAGTTTTTCTTTTTTTTTCTAAATGTTAATATTCTTGATTCTTACGATCTTTTTTTCATTATTTAGTCACAAAAATCAAATTATACACATAATTCAACCTATCGTATTGATTATCCAGGACATATTGATCATTTACCTGATACAGTTTTAAGACGTAAATTACTTTTATCGCAAGAAGAACGACCTAGACGAATGATTCTTGGTCATCATAATATTAATGATGGTAAACAATTGATTAGCAGGTAAAAAGTAGTTCCAACTTTTTTTTGTTTTTGTGATCAAATTTTTGTATTTATAGCTATGACGAACAATACAATCGACGTGGACCCTATGGAAATAATCGAGTAAAATTAATTTAAATATTTTCTTTGAAATTTATTCATTCAATTTTTGTGAAACATGATATAAAGGGAGGAGTGTTGAAGTATAAATGGAAAATTTTGGGCTTTCACAGATGATAGTCAGACAAGAATACCTCATACCTTTCGGTATAGAGCGCTGCACAATGATAGATTCAATAGCTCGATATCTTCTCTACAACTAATACTAGTTGTAGCTCTGGACAGAAGATCGACCTGATGCAGAGTGCTTGAGTCTCCTCACACACAAACTAACCATAAAAGTGGTTGTATGTCACAACATAGCTAATATGCCATAGGACGGATGATCCAAGACAAACAGCCGTTAGTGACTTCGCCAGGGTCATTTCACGATTGATGGTATCACAGTTTGAACGCAGTATCTTGTGAAATCGTATCGAACTACACAGCTACTCGGTCATTATGATACTTATTAGAGACCATCCAAGACCGTGACACACACCTTTGGAACCAGTGTTTTATCCAGGATGAGGTCTGAGGATACGATGTCCCTCCGAAAATCGAGTTTCGTTCTTCTGAAGTTTGTAGTTTTTCTACAATGTACTGTGTGTCTGTACTCTCAAACATAGTTGTTTGTCCTCGGAAAGAGAGCGTCCGGATAAAACATGGTTACCAATCTTTCTGTCACAATTGCTAGATCATGTTTCACATTTTGATCCTATAGAGACTGCACTAATAGTTTATTTTTTTATTTTTAGTTTCCAGTAGAACGAAAATGGGCATTACAAGATGATTGTTGGGTACCAGAACATAGTGACCATCCACTTGAAGGTGAACCAACACGTTTTGGTCTTACGGAAAAAAAACGTTCGCAAAGTCAGTCTTTTCATCGTTCACATACAATGCCTGAAATGAGGTGCACTTTTATTTCTCATACGTTTTTTTTTCTCCTTCTTAATTATTCTTTTGTTTTTTTTGTTTATATCAAGTGAATATACAGATCGATATATTCCTCATGAATCAAAATTATATTCGGAATCAACACGTGTTGCTATTCCACGTTTATTTTCAACTGCACTTGATCGTACAAATGCAATTAATAAAGATCTTAATTATCGTTCGATAACAAACAGTAGTCGACGACAACCAACAACACGCGATGCAAAAGAAATTGATTATTTACGTTCATTTCAACGAGATACAACTATTCCACGAACATATTATTATTTAGGTAAAGCTTCGGATTCAATTGATGATAATATGCGTGAAAAATTTCCATTTTTACCTGCACCAATTAATACTCTTCAACAAATTAAATCATCAACTATTGAACAATTTCAAAATCAACAACGAGAACAAACTCTTTATGCTTAATTCAAATGAATAAATTTATCTTTTCATTTTCATTTTATTTTCTTCAGTTTAACACACAATAATAACTTATATCATTACTCTTTTTTTTATATATTTTTTTTAATTTTTATCATATTATAAATTTTTCAAAAGAGCCACAACACCGACATAAGTTTCATGACCTACACAAATAATATAAATACAAATAAATATATCAACCATAAATACAAAGTTACCTGTTTTCTTAATTTCACTTGTAGGGGCAATAAATCCAGTACCACCTGTTGGTGGTAATTCGAGGCAATACGAGTAAAAGATTCCAAGTGTACCTGCTGTCCAATCTTCACTACCTCCACTGGCAATATCTATTAAATATTAAAACGAAATATATTCATTGAAAGATATTAAAAAAGAACTAACAAAGTATTTGGGCTGATGAACCGACTGTATATGATCGTCCGTTGACACTTTTAATAGCTGCGGCACCAATATTAGCTTTTTCTTTCTATTAAAAATAAGACAATATGTAATTCATTGTAACAAAATTTAAATGAATTCTTACAAGAAGTGCATAATTTGGTGGATCAGCTACTGTGTAACCCCTGAAAAAAAATGATTATTTCAATTATCCTATAATTCATTGACTTACCAGTTCTAAAAAGAAAAACAAAACATAAATTACAACGTTCTATAAAAGAAAATTCTTTTTGTTTTTACTTACAGTAAACCACCATCTAGAAAAAAAATTAATTATTTAAATAATGAAAAACAAAATCATCTACGAAAAAGAAAAAACTTACTGTCCATAAGAATGAAATGTAAGATAAGTATCCCAATGTTTACCAGTCATATAGCTTTGAAGTGCTTTAGCTTCATTTTCACTCATTGGTGCACCACCATGATATGTATCTTGACATCCATTAGATGAACTACCTCCTGTATTCCACTTATAACCAAAGTTACGATTAAGATCAGTACCAACACAAGTGCCACTAATTGGTCTTCGATTTTTACGCCACATACGATCCTTTTAATAAATTAAAAATTGATTTTCTTTCTCTCAATTTTAAAATTTGAAACAAACCTTTGAATGTGAATAAGCATAACCATCAGGATTAAGAACAGGAACAATATGTAATTCCCATGTATCTAAAATTGTTTTAGCGTCACCACCTGTTGCATATTTTGTTAACAACTATAAAAAGAATATCAATTTAAAAAAATATTTAAATTTTATTTGTTATACCTCATTAATTATATAAGCACCAGTTGCTGGTGAAATCCATTCTCGTGCATGAATACCAAAATCCATGAAACCTTTTTTCTTTGCTGCTCCAGAATTAGCAGTCAGCTACAGATTAAAAATAAATAAAATAAGTTACTTTTTGTTTAATTTTATGCAATAAGATTACTTTAATAAGCCAAATATCTCGATTTTCATATGTTTTACCAATGGATACGAGTGTTGCAAGCTGTGAATGAGCGTTTGTAATCTCTTTTAACCAAGCAGTAAACTAATTTTACAAACAAATATTTGATTGCTTTCAAAGAAATAGGCTTTTTACTTGTTCATAATTATGAAAAGTATCGTGGATTCCACGTGGTACACCAGATCGAGCATGTGCTTGAAGAGTTTGTTCTTCGTTTTCGAGTACCCTAGATGAAAACGAAAGATAAAAATAATAATAATAATAATAATTTTTTTTGCTTAAAATTTACTTTTGCACATCATTAATTAAAAGTGTTGGTTTCATATTTAATGAATGAAAAAGTGACATAAACTGTGATTGTTTTTGTTGATGAAACATAATATGAACAGAACCATTACGACGTAATTCATTCCAAATATCAATCTACGTAAAAATTTTAAGAAAATTCTCTAGATTTGTTTTCGTGCGAGTTATACTTCATGTTGATTTTCGAGATCTAATAACAATTTGTAATGTTTTTCTTCCGATGGTATTACAGATACGACAATATTGCTGAAAAGACATATTTGATAATACTTATGAAAAGTCTTGTATACTTACCCATCATAACGTTTTTTTGATGCATCCGAGAAGACGACAGCAATGAAGAGCAATAAGCAGCGAAGATACATGCTTTGAATGATGTTTTTGTTATTGTAGTGCATTTATCATTTTCAAATTTCATTTTATAGGCCTTTTTCTCTTTTTTTTTTGCACTGTCACTAATCTCTCAATCAAGGAGACGCTTAAGATGTCAAGTATAAAAAACAGTATATACAATACTGTATTAATATCTATGTCATTCGAGCTCATCTTACAAATAAAATAAAACAATTTTTACAAAATATAAGTATCACTGTACTTTTTCAATTATCAAATGACCTTGACTCTCACCTGAATACATAGTCATACAGGCAAGATAAAGTGCAAAATGTGAAAATAAAAACAATTGATGAAATTTTCACTAATTGAAACAATCTTTTTTTGTTTTATTTCGTCTTATATTTTCATATAGAAATAAAAAGAAGCGATTAAAACGTTTGATTTTATTTATTAAATAGAATTTAAAAAAAAAAGAAAATGAGGCTTCATATAATTAGATGTAGTAAAAAGCAAAAAAAATAGATATTTTTAAACTAACTATGTGATGAGAAAAAAAAATTAACTGTTTATTTTATTGTGTGAAAAAAGATCAATAGTTCATTTTACTTTTATAACGCATGGAAATTTGCTGTTTGTTGGAGCACGACGAAAACGTAATGGTAATATATGCTGAACTGTTATACGACGTGAGCAATCATCATGTTTCGCTGCTTCAATTACCAATTTTTTAATCAAATCGCTATTTATATTCGTTGCTTCTGCTATATATTTATATAAGAATAAAAATGAAAAGAATTTTCTATAAATAAATATTTACCCTGTGAAAATTCAACTTGGATAATAAATATAACCAAGAGAATGTAGAAGACAACTTTGCCATAAGTCATTGATATTGTTGGTTTTTTAACCATATTGTTAAACGATGGTTGACAATAGTGACCGATCCCTTTGCCCTATAACGATAACAAGAAAATGACGCGTTTTTATATAAACCAAAACTAATGATTTATTATATGTTTATCCTAATTGGTATAAATTTAGAAACAACGTATAATAATCAAACAGAAGAAAAAGTATGCTGTCATATGATTGTGTACAAAATAAAATCACATTTTAAGTACATAAAAACATGTTTAAAATATACAAATATGTGGTTGATTAGAACTAGAAGAATAAAAAAAACAGTTACCTTAAGAGAATTTTCGAGTCAAAGTAATTGTTTATATATAGATCAACGTCTAATTGTTTAATCTTCTGGCATTGAATTTACTAATTGTATTATTTAATCGTGTCTTTGTTTCACATTTACAAGACACGATACCATACAAATCAAAAGGTCGACGAAAGTAAAAAACTCGACGCGAATAAAAAGCTCGAAGCAAATAGAATAAAACATGAGATGCTCAATCATATTCATTATTTATTATTTTACAACGCAATTTAGTTATATTAGATTCGGTCATGGGACATTAAAGGTGAGCGGGTGAGAAACTTATGACGACAAGCATAGGAAAAAAGGGGAGCAAATTTATTTTACGCTATAGTACTATAATGTGCAGATAAAAGATGGACTGAACAGGGTTATGAAGGTCTTCATAACAGCATATAAATGTCTTTTTGGATGTTACGCTCGAGGTTTTTTTTTAATTCATATTTAAAAAATATTCATTTTTTTTTTAAATTGTTAAACTATTCAATAAAAATTTTTTGTGAAATGTGTAGTTTTTATCTTGTTTATATCATTAAGAATATCATTTTTTCGATGAAAGATAACTTAAAAATAAACAATACAGTAAGAGAAGAAAATTACTGAAAAATGAAATTTTCTGCATCAATAATCAATTAATTGGTCTGAAAGAAAAAAAGATAAAGAGTAATATTTAAGTCAATATTATAGCATTGTAAATTACTTAAGTTAATTAAAACGCGTTTTACATATTAAAACCAAATTATTGAAATTGAAACTATCTAATTATATTAAATTTTGCTTTTCTTTATCAAAAACAAACAAAATCATTTCTAAGCTGTAAAAAAAGAAATCTTCATTTGATAATATTAAAACATTTTTAGTCAATCTTGACTTTAATATTGTTTTCAAATTTTAATCAACGAAGATTTTAATAAAATAAAAATAGAAAAAAAAAAATTTTTAATGGAATTAGTTGTTTTTGAAAACAATTGTATTTCAAGGCATCTTTAACTGGGATTCTTTGTAAACTATATAACTCCTCCTGAAATGCATACAATCAACTTACTAAGAAGAAAGAACTCTCGTTCTATTTGATGTTTCTTTATTTTAGAAATGATATCTTTAACCTTGAGAAAACATCATTATATAAGCAACAGAATAAAAGGGGCAAGAGCAAGAAAGAAAAGCAATTGTAATTGTAAAGACACTAAAGACAACAGACCGTAAACGAGTACAAGGACACTTATGCATACGAATGAAAACAATGTTTACACAAATATCAAAGTTTATTTCTTTATTTGGAGATAATTTTATTATTGATTTCATTGTTATTTTGTATGAAATACGTCAAATCTAAAAAATATAACAAGCCAACATAGATTCAATGGTTCTTTTTTTAGAATCCAATTTCGAAAGCAAAATACTCAGAGGGCAAAATCCTCTTAAAATTAAAACAATAATAAATCAACAAAAATATTAAAAAAATTAAATAAAAATTTTTGCAATCTACCAAACAGTGTATATCCGTTTTAAAAAAAAACAACTTGTACACATTATTTTTTGACTATATTTTCGTTAATATGTATTGTATTAACTCTTCTATCATTGATGAAAAACAATATTATATCATTCTAAATTCTATTCATTTGACAATTTAACTAAAAAAAAGATCCATATCATTTTTTTCTTAATAATGAAAGAAAAAGAAAGACTGTAATATAAATTTTAGTTTTACAATAAATCTGAAATTTTCGAGCTTTTTTATTTTCACCCAAAAGGTCATCATCAACAGAGTTGAAATAAACGTTTATGAAAATTTTACTATAAATACAAAAAAAAAACAGAAAACAAGGTGATGTGTCATAAACAAAAAAACTAAATTGTATTAAAAAAGCAATAATAACTATGTTTTGATTATAAATCGAACTAATAATACACTGATCATAACAAAGTGTAATCAGGGGTATCCTGACCATTTGCCCTATACCCCTTCCCAATCTTGAATACCTTTTGTTCTTCTTTTTCATTTTATTGTTTGTGCTTGCTTATCTATTTCGAAAATAACACTCAAATCCTCCACCGCAAATTCAGTCAGCTTTAACAAAAATCTCTGAATCAGACGCTGAAGTGATCGACATATAATTATAATAACATTAGTTAAACTAAAGTATAGATTTATATCTTCATGTTGATATTTATATTGCATTAAAGTGATTAGATATATGATTAAGTTCGATGATTTCAAATATATTGTGATTCTTCGTTTCTTTGATTATTTGGTTTCTAACATTGTTTTGATTTTCATGAACAGTTTATGATGTCTATCAGCACTTATATCCATACTTTCAAAGTTTTCAAATTTATTAGTATTTTCTTTTTCTAGTGTTGTTTTTATTGTTGATTGAAGATTTTTTTATTAATATTTAAATTCACATAACATCTTTTTTTTTGTACACTTAAACTAATCTATAACAATGTTAAACTAAACTTCTTGATTTTGTAAACACGTATCTTATACCAAAACATTAACTAGCATTATCTTTTTGTTTTAATAATAAATATACACTAATGTCGGCGTGACACTTAAGAGTTAAATCGAAAATGCAAGCAGTTAATGATCTGCAGTTTTCCATCATCGATAGTAAAGACATGGTGTCGTCTTTATCTTCAATACAATAATTCTGAAACCAATGATCTTCGCAAAGCATTCAAAAAGAATTGAAATTGAGACGATAGTCCAAAATCTAATCTTTCATAAACGGCATGATTTTTTATTTGACACCTCATTTTTTGATGATTTTTGTCATCATCTACTTAAAAACAATTAGGATTACAACAAATTCAAAGCCTTAAGATTCGGTATTAGTTGGCTTATGTTTTGTCTCAAAGGACCCAAATCTTAAGGGATTTGATCAGAAAACGTGACATCAACAACATTTACTTTATTAGGCCTACAGCACAACCAGAAAAAGATTTTAGGATTTCGGGCCAAACTCTCCGAATCGAGATTTACACAGAAAAATATAAATAGGTTGCATTTTGATAATAATCATCAACTTACAAATTACATAGGACAGTCAAAAAGTTCGTGCACTTTCAAATATTTATTCATAGAAAAAAAAATGTGTTACTGTTTCTGTCTGCAGTAAATATTCTGAGTGGTTTTTGCGACGTTCTATACAAAGTTTCATCCTTTGAATTCATTTCTGGAATATCTTTTGGTATTCATGAACAGTCATTGAATTGAGTTCCTTGGTTATTTCTTGAACCTAACTCGTAACATCTGGATACGTATCAAGTTTACTTTTCAAGCGACTGAACAACTAGAAATCTGACAGAGTAAGATCAGAAAAGTATGGTAGACAAGCCATAAGCTTGGTTTCTTATTCATAAAAACAAACACCTTTCACAGATGATCTTGTATTGTGAAGATGCAACCTAATGTCGTTTTTGGTTGATGATGGTCTTTTTATTTGTTACTTTTTAACTAATCTTTTTAAACATTCGTCACGATTATATATGACATTTATTGTTGTTTCTGCTTTCAATAATTATCTTCTTATAAATGTTGGAGGATCTTCTTTGATTATCGATGCTTTAGATTGTTCCTTTGATTTAATTTTGCTATAATAAATCTAAGCTTAATCTTTGATGACTATATTGTCTAGTCTCCAAGTACCACTTTGAAATTTCTCTAAATTTACAATATAAATATCAATATGTCGTTGTTCTTGATTGAGTTCATGAAGTACCCATCTTGACGACATTTTTCGTACGTCAAGGTGTTATCTGAGAATAGCATCTACACTACCATGTAATATATCTAACATGCTACCAATATAATCAATACTAATATGTGAACCATCATTCATCAGATCCTTAATAGCATTAATATTTTGTTAATGCAATGATAGTTATTCGATGATCACTTCGGAGATCATCTCCGAATGACTCTCGCCCATTTAAAAATTTCCATAATAGACCAACATCCAGAATACAAATAATGAAGATGAAATTTTAGTCTGCTACAACGAGAAATTTTAGACTATCCTATGTATTCATATGAATTTGGTCCAAAACCATATGTCAAATCTATTCTAGATTTGTTTCATCGCTTAAAAATATGCTTCTTCCAGAAAAAGTAGAAAATCTTTTTCGATTTTTCTCTGCTTATGTTTTTTTTTGTGATCACGCATCTCAAAATTCACGAAGGATCTTCATTGTAGTCGACTGTCTATTTCATAGAAATTTTACAAAAAGCATAAAAATGATGTTTTCATACGAAATAACAAAAAGAATCCATTCTTGTGCCTTCCATAAAATTTATGCATCTTGATCAAAAGGTCTCATACTGCGCCAGACGACATCATTTGTTCATACAGAATTGTTTCTTCTGTCATTTTAGATAATTCGAACAAAATTAAAGGAGCTGAAAAAAATAGCAATTCTTTTTCACTTTTGAAAACAAAATTCTCTACAAATATATTAGTTGTATTTTTGTTATCGCTTACAGCCGTAGAAAAAAAATTGAAAATAATACCTGGATGAATCATTGTGGAAACCACTGTCAATGAATCGTTCTTTTAGACATTGAACTTGTCTCCGTTTAAAAGAAGACTCTGTCATGCTCTTCCAAATAAAATCTATAGAATGAAAGTCTACAGAGGATTTTAAATTGCCAAATGAGCTATGTTTGACTCTTGTCTATTTAATATCTCCCGAAAACATCATCGTATAGACCTGAAAATTTCACGATTGATCCATGATTGACTTTTAAAAGCAATTGCCCTTGAATCCTACGTCAACATTCAATTAAATCTCAGATTCCATCATTTTCTGCTAATAAAATCTTCAATAATGAATCTTATTACGGTTGTTTTTCAATAAAAAAAAAAAAAAAAAAGAAAAGAAAAGAAGGACACAAAACAAACAATGACAAATAGAATAGAATAGAGCAAAGCAACGGAACAAAAAGAAAAAACCGAAATATATATATGCATGTTTTCTAGACGAAAAAAAAAGCAAACGGATAAATAGTACAAGAACAAAATTATCTGAATGGAATGTTCATAGGACGAGAAAGACCTTGCAAAAGAAAACGAGATATCTGACATACATTTACATTTGATCCTAATTGAAAAAAAAACAAAAATCAAAGAAATAATTTATTTCAAAACAACAAACAATTTACTTCTAATAATTCTGGATGTTGATTATCAATATGATTGAAAAAATGTTGATGATTATTATTTATATTATAACTACATTTTGAACATTGATAAAGAATTATTCGAGTTTTTGCATGAACTATAAAACAAAAAAAATGATTCCAAAAAACAAAAAACAACGAATTTTTAATTTACTTGTAGTAAATTGTTTTATAAATGGATTATTTTCTAGCCATTGTAATTCTAAAAAGAAAACAAAATAATAAATCATTTTTTTTTTATTTTTTTCTTTGATTTTTATCTTTACCATAATCAAATATTTGTTCGGATTGATTATTATCATCATTTTCAATATCACTAGGATATTTTTTATCAATATCAATACGATTTTTAATCGATGCATGACCTTTACGATGCATAAGTAAATCTGATAAATCTTCAGCTTCATAATCACATTGTCGACAACGTAAATTATTATTTTGTATACGTGAAGTTATTTTTTCTTTTTCATTATTATTATCATTTTGATTTTCATCAACAATTATTTCATCTTCTTCTCCTTCTTCGTCAATGTCTTCCTCATTTTCAATTGATTTTTGTTCAGTAATTTTTTCTGATGATATTGATTTATTATTTTCAATAACTAAACCAAGACTCTAAATGAACAAAAGAAAAATAAAGAGAAATATTTGTAAATTTTAAATTTTTTTTTTATTTCTTACTTCCATAACTTTAGCCATTGCTTTACGTCCAACTAAAACTGGACCATGATGATTACATATTTTCATATGTTTTTTAACATCACATTTCCACTTTGATTTATAATTGCAATTAAAACAATGATAAGGACTTTCAGCTGAATGAACAATTAAATGACGTCGTAATTCAGCCATTGAATTAGCTGCAAATGGACATTGTTGACAAGATAATGTACGATCACGTGTAAATTTTATTGAAGATAATTTTTCTTGAACATCAGTACCAAAAAATCCATAATCTTCTTCAGTTAATGGTGTTGAAGTTAATGCACGATCATCTGTTCCTTCATATTTAGCTTTAAGAGTTGTTTGAAATAAATATTTATCAGGTAATTCAACGATTTTTGCTGTATCATGAACATGTTGTTTTTTAACATGTTTCTAAAATATTATTTAGATTCAAATATATTATTAGAAGTTTTGAGGGATAGAAATATGTAGTGTCATCAGAAGGATTCGCAGAACGGTTGAGTCCCAGAAGAAAAGAGGCGCTATGCGGGTTGATTTAAGAAGTACAGGTGAGTGACATCACAACCATGACCAAGGCAGTCCTCCAACTGATAAATTACTTTTGAATCGAGACTCTGTACATTATGTAGATCTAAATGAGCTATGAAAATAGCTTGAAAAGAGTTTGTGTCCTTAGCACTTATTACTATGGAGATACAGCATTTTTTAAATACGTGCCGCCATAACAGAAAAGTTGACTTTGCATAGAAACAGATTTAAACGAGAGTAATTTATTGTGAAAGTTTCAGATCCTTGGATCAATGGCGGAGTTCCTCCTGGTGAGACTTTTATTTTTTCTCACACAAAGTATACTACTCTTTACAATGGAACGTTTTAACAAGTATATTTTTTTCCGAAAAGAAACATTGCAAAGACTAATACATTTTTGTATTAGAAAAAATATAAAAATTTTGTCAGAGAGCTGAGATTCGCTACTGACTTTCACAATAGACTATTGTCATGAAGGTCTGTTTCCGTACAAAATGAAATTAGTTTTTCTATTACTATGGTATTCATTTAAAAGAGTGTAGTATCTCCAGAGCAATGACGATTTATTAGTTGGCGGATTTTCTTCGTGACTACCATTCATTTGCATGTATAGGTCTGAAAAACGATGTCTATCTAAATTCGAGATCTTCCTCAGAAAGCAAAATTTGAACACAATTTTTCTTCTATAGAAGACTTACTTGAACATCCCATTTCCAACTCGAAGCATATGGACATGCTGAACAATGATAAGGTTTATCTCTAGCATGATGACATCTCATATGTTGACTTAATTCACTTCTCCATCGTCCACGATAATCACACCAACGACATTGAAAATTTCTTTCTTCTTTTTCAATTCTTCGCTGTTGTTGTTGTTGTTGTTGCTGTTGTTGTTGTTGTTGTTGTTGTTGTTGTTGTTGTTGTTGTTGTTGTTGTTGCTGCTGTTGCTGTTGTTGTCGAAGATGATGATGATGATGATGATGATGATGATTACTATTTCCCTGTGCTGCTGCAACCATAGCTGCAACAGCATGTATCCGTTGTTGTTGTGAGGGTGATGATGAACGTGGTGGTGATGATGATGATGATGATCTTGATGAATTAGGTGATGCTGATTGTTGCATAAATGATTGTGCTTGTCGAAATAAATCTAAATTTGTATTCATTGGTAAACGTGGTGAATAATTAAATTTAGGTTGTAGTAATAATGATGGATTAATAAATGATGAAAACATAGGATGATGTGGAAAAAATGGTGATGGAAAATACATTGTTGGTGGTAATGGTGATGGAGGCATAGGTGGCAATGGTGGCGGAAAAAACATTTTATTATTATTATTTTCTTGTTTATGTCGTTTTATCATAGGTTGTTCATCATCATGATCAGAATGAGTTGAATTTTGACTTTGTTCATCATCTGAATGATTTGTTCGATTATTTTTATTTAAATTTTCATTTGAAATAGATGAACTTATTGAATGACTATCAGAATTTGTTTGTATTTTAGTTGTTGATGAACTAGTTGGTAATTCCATCAAAGAACGTGCTTGATCACGATCACGTTTTTTATATGGATTAATTAAATTTATACCTTTACCACTACATGCATGAGCACGATCCCAATGTTTAGCTAAATCTAAAACAAAACAAAAAACAAACTACAATTAGAAAAAAACAATGAATGTTTTTTTTTTTCGTTTTTACCCCAACGCCATTTATAAGTTAATGAACATATAAGACATTTAAATGGTCTTGATGTTGAATGTGATGCAGCATGTTTTTGAAGTTCCGTTGGCCATCGACCAACAAAATCACATTGAATACATTTTAATGGATTAACTGGATCACTTAAATTCCATTCTTCATTTTGTTGTGCTACATTTGTATTCCGTGGTGGAGATTTTCCTGTTATTTCATTTTCTAATTCATGTAAATGATTTTTTAAAAAATGTTCGTTAACTGTTTCAATTGATAAAAATTTTTGATCACATATTGAACAAATAAAAAGTTTTTGTCCAATTGAATTTTGTGGACTTGGTGATGAACGATCATCTGAACTTTCATGTCCATCATCATCTTCACTAATATGATTATCAGTTGATTTTATACGAAGATCTAATGGATGTTGATCAACTGATGCTGATTCTGATTCTGGTGCTGATGTTGATAATGACGTTGATGTTGAATTTGTTGTTATTGATGTTGCTAATTTTAACCATGTATAAGGATTAAATGGAAATGCTGGATGATGTGTTGATATAGATTTCATTTGTGTTGGCAACATATCAGTTTGATTTGAATTTAAAGTTTTTGATTGTGATGATTTTGATGGACGTATTGTAACTGGTGCGTCAAGTGGCGGTGGTTCTTCGTCGTTATGTTTTTCTTTCCAATGTTTATTTAAACTTTTTCGCCATTTGTATAAATTACCACATAATGAACAAGCAAATTTTACTTTAAATAAGAAAAACAATACGTTCTTTTTTTTTGAATTTTATTAAAATTTTTATTAACATACCAGAATTTGCATCATCAGGATCAGGAACACGACGATATCGTGCTGGATCAACAGATACGTTATAAGGACGTTTACGATCAGAAACAGTTGATGATGTTTGTTGTGTTGTATGTGAATGAGATGAAGTAACGGAAAGATTAAGTTTCTTATTTAGACCAGTAGAAGGATTCTATAAAGAGAAAGAGAGAAATGAATAACGATTGGTAGAAAAAGAAAAGAGTAATGCCATTAACATACGCACGCACACACTTTCTTTCTCTCTCTCTCTCATTTTCGCATTTTATGAGCATCCAATAATAATAACCATGACCGAGAGACTGATCTTTCGGGCAGGTGTCAGTATGCGAAAGAAAAAAAGAAAAACAGAATAATTTCTTCGTTATACATATAAAAAAAAAAACCGATGAAGAAAATGTCTGATTGTTATAGCCGTCAAGAAATGGGCTCTTGTTCGGGACAAAAAAAAATCGAAATAAAAAAAAAAACATCATGATACATTACACTTATAAAGCTAAAATAGAATTACATGCGTGAGCGCAACTTCTCATATTCTCCTAGTGTATAAGAGAGTAGACATTTAGAGAAAAGTTTGTTTTAATCAAAAAATGTTTTTTTATCATGACTACAAATCGACATGATGATCATTACTCACTTTTTTAATCGAAAAAGAAACATACATACATATACACCTGCATTAAAGCAAGACAAATGATAAGATTTGATGATTTTCATTGCTGTTCTTTTTTATTTTTTTTTCGCTTGCTCATTTTATTATCCTATGAAAGTTTCACACATCATTAACGATTTTCTCTATCGTGCGAAAAATTGAATATTCACTCACTCTTCTACTATATTATATATATGTTACAGATTAGTCAAGTATAATTGTTGTTCTGACGTTGGCACGATTCTCAATCATAAATATGATCCGTTTTTATGGTCAAGAAAAAAAAAAAGCGAGTATACTGTACAGGTCAATCGCATGTAATTAATAATACTACTTTTGCTGCTGCTGCATATGTATACATAGTTCGAAAAATGAAACTTTAATCCGAAGATGCAAATTTTCTTTTTTGTAATAGTAACTGTCTGACTACGAAACGTCGTACTTTTGTTATTCTTTTTATTCATTGAAGAAGAAAAAACAAAAAATTTGAATATTTAGTCATCTCATCAGTTATATCATAAAGTTTAGTTGAATAAAATAAAAAAAAAAGAAGATCAAACGATCAGTTTTCAAGTGGAATTATGGTAAAACAAGTGTCAACTTCAATCATAAGATGAAGTTAAGATAGAAATTTAATATCCGATTCTTATTTTTTTCTCTTCTTCTAACAGAAGTTAAAAGAGAAACAAATTTTAATTTTATCCGTATGTCGTCTATCGATATTAAAACGAAAATGAATTTGTCTGATTCTAAACTACTACTGTATAACATACGTTTAAAATTAAACTTATGAAAGTAGATCATTATTTGTTTTTTAGTGCTAGGTCATCGTTTGATAGATAAGCTATTCATTAAGATTAATCGATCAATGAAAATATCATTACAGGACATAGCAAAAAAAGAAAAATTAACTATTCTTGGCATCATAATGTATTTCAATATTTTTTCAATATCTCAAGAATGATAACAACTAGGAACTTGCAATTTTCACCATTCGAAGAAGAAATGTGAAGGAAGAGTTACACATTACTGAATTATCTGGACTATGTCTTGTTGCTGTAGATTTTCGAGAGATTTTTTGAAAAAGACAACTTTTTCAATTAACAATGAATACCAATTTAACGAGTCAGTAGTGAAGACATTTTTTTATGTCGGTCAATGTAAGACCGACTTTTCTAGCTTATTCAATGCAGGAATTATTAGTTTTTTATTGGAAGTCTTGAAATCAGGCAACTGACCACTGGTCACTATAAATTCCATTGAGTTTATTCAGTTGCGCGATTTCAAGATTTCTAACAAAACGCTTAAAATTTCTAAAATACGCTAGAAGCATCTGGTTTGCGTAGATCGATAGAGAAATATCTTCACTATCGTTTACCCTAATTGGAATTCATTATGAATTGACAAAGTTTTAACAGCAAAAATATATAGTCGAATAATTCAACAAAGTTTAACTCTCCCAAATTCCATTTTCCAATGGTGAAAACTGCAAGTTTACAGCAACTTTTGTTCTCGAGATATTCAAAAGTATATCGGGCTACATTATATTTTGACGTCGACATTAGAAATTTTCGATACTATTAGCTATTCTCATCATTAGTGGTTGATTTGGAAGAAAGGGGGCGATCGTTTCTTCCTTTCGAACAATTTTTCGAATTTTCTACACAGAAAGCGTCCAAAAATAAGTCGACATGACTTTCTAATTATATTTCAAAACATGTTTTGTGACTATGATCGTCGACCTTTTCCATTGAAGGATACCTATTTATCAAAATTCTGGATCCACCATTGCTCACTATTACTACTAATACTTGAAGGTCCAAATTCTATTCTTTAATTACCTTTCAATGTGAAATATTGTATACAGATAGTTTTGCTAACAATTGATATGTTTATTATTTATATTTAACTGAAAGATTTTTATAAATAAAATATCAATATTAACCCACATTGTATTTGTATAATATTTTTCTATCCTACTCATATCAATCTACTTCCACATGGATGTACTATACATTCAAGATGGCACACAAAGGTAATTTAACTGAGTACAAAAAACTTACTAATGTACTAATAGTATGTCTATTCATTGTTTCATATGCTATGGTTTTCTTCATAAATTACTCATCATCATCATTATGTCCCATTAGACTATATGACGAATAGAAGGTTGAATAAATCGCAAATAAAAGAAAGCCTTTTTTTTCTCATTTTGTAATTATCCCTTTACAATCATTATTCGAATACAGATCAAATTTTTTTAAATTTTGCAATTTTTACTTATAAATAACTAACTATTCTCGTCTATTTTTTCAATAAAAAAAAAGAACTACTTATAATTCATTCTACGAACTTTACAAACACACACACTTGGGATGAATTATCTATAAAATTATTTTTTCGAGAACGTGCGCCCTCTTTCGAAAGAATCATAACTGAAAATAATTTCAAACAAATGTTAAATGCTATTCTTTTTGCTTACTTGTTCATCATCTGAACTTTGTTCATCATGTTCAAATATTGTTTTATTTTGCTCTTTTGAAATTTCGATATTAAGTTGATGTTCGTCATTGTCATCTCCAATTTCATCATCGGATTCGACATTTGAAGTTTGTTGTATTGAAAGATTTAATTTAGGTGGTGATAATGATTGATGATTATTTCTATTAAAAATAAAATGGATTTAGAAAAATTAATTGAATTATAATTTTACTTGGATGAATCATGATGAGAATTAAGATGCAGATTAAAATCATATGAAGATAATGAATAATATCGACATGTATCACATAAATATACTTCTTCCTGTCCGTGTTCGAATTTCATATGATTTTTAAATTCATTTATTATTGTTGTAGAAAAATCACATAGATCACATTGACGAACAAGTCGAGAACGAGGCGCCAATTGTTTTCGTCTAAAAACAAAAAATATTTTATTATTATAAAAATTTTTAAAAAAACCAAACAAATAATTTACCTATTACTTCGTCCAATGTTTTGGGTTGATTTTGATATGAGATTTATAGCATTATTATTATTATTATTATTATTTGAACTTGATTTGTCCGATTTTGCATCACAATCACTGAAATAAATAAAAAAAAAACATCACACATCATGATATCATATCTGATATTTCACTAATCATCAAAACAGAAAATTAGAAAGCAAAAAAAAAAGGTGTTATTGAAAATTCTTATTTCCTATGTTTGTTTATTTAACTTACAAAACACTTGAACATCAAAGATCAATTTAATGATAGTTCGTCATTAAATCGTAGAAGGATTTTTTTTTTTTTTTTGAATAAAAACCAGAGAAAGATTTTTATCTTTCTTAACACAACGGAATTGACCGATGGACCAGACACATTTATTTATATATGTATATATTGAAAAGACCGATTGAATTCAATGATAATTCGTTTAGTTAGACATCGATCAGGCATGACATTAAACTGTACTGTCTCTTTTCTCCCATTACTCTGTTACATCGTTCGATCTCTTGTCTTTATGTTGTTCATTCATTTTTCAGTATGCATATGTGAACGATGCGATTTAGACGACGGGCGTCATTAACGACAAGTAAAAGAAAGAAAAGACACTTTAGCTTCACATTGGTGGTTCATTAATTGAAGATGGTTGACAAAAAAAAAAGAAAAAAGACGAGAGACATTCTCTTTATCTAGTACCGATATCAAGTAAAATACTTTGCCGAAAGGCATTTTTCTTTAAATATATACAGTTGGACACGCATCGATAATTTAGCAGAGAGAAAAAAATGAAAATGCATTTTCTATTAGTTTTCAACATATGATTAATTACTTTATGTTAGTTCAATTTCAAATGACACCAGATCTTTCTCATGTATACACAAAATGAAATGAGCAGGGATTAGCGCCTAGTACTGGTACTACACTACTGATAATAAAGAACGATGCCGAGACTTATGTATACATAGGATGGAACTAATCCCTCTAGACATGACATGTAAATATCGTTGAATCGAATAGAAAAAAAAAACAGAAGAAGAAAGACTTTGTTTTTTTACCTGATATCATCCGAATTGGTAGGAAATCTCTGCATAACTTGGTTAATATGATTATTATCACAATGATTATATTGATGTCTTTGTCTAGAAAAAAAGAAATAGAAATGAATGTTAATAGAAAAGAAAAAAAAGATCACGTACACACGACAAAATTTGTGTACATAAATAAGAGAGAAAAAAAATTACACCCGGAAATCAAATATAATCGTTTAAAGCACGTTCGAAAATGGGTGGAACCAAGGAAAAAAAATTACGCTACTACTTTTATTTCTTTTTATTCCTAACCAATCAAAAAAAAAGAAGAAGTAATGCCATCAATAATTTATTCTATTTTTGTTACAGATCGAACCAATCGATTATGAGACGAAGCAAAGAGAAAAAAAAATAAAACGAAACGAAAAAAGTAGCAGTCGTATTTACGTATGACGACAATCCAACTCTTTCTCTACGCTGCTCCGATACGGATCATTGACTTTGATTTTTATCCTTTCTGATTTCTGCTGGCGGCAGCTGACGTTGACATACTCACATTCTCTCTCTATCTATTTATTGTTCTTCTTTTGTATCATGTATGATCAAATCATGAAGGTAAGGAAAAAAAAAACAGGATCATTCTCCTTCGCATTTTCGTCTTACGACCATATTCAAGCGAAAAAAAGGTACAGACGCATATACCTTACCTGTTAAAGAAAGAAGTATTGACTGCTTCTGTAACATCATCAGTAGCAAGCATCATTGTTTTTCGTGCTATCCTATGAATAAGAAGGATAATAAACAACAAATGACAGAAAAAGAAAAAGCATCAATCTCTGTCTCTGTCTGTCTCTTTCTTTCTTTTCCTATCTTCCTTTCAATCTATCGAATGTAAATCAGAAGAACGACAAAAAAAATCCATTTCAATGAGAAAGAGAAATCTGCACTGCTGCTCTCTGTGTATATGTGCATTCACCGATAGATAATTATGAGAATAAGACGCGAACCGGTGATATACTGGACATTTATTTCGTTTGTTCGTTCTGTCACTTTTTCAATGACTACACTGTAATATCTCATCTTTTTTTCTTTATATGACGATGTGCTCAGAGACGATACAGACAGACAGTCAACGGCAACGGTTATGTTAAGAGAATGGGAGGTACTAAGACAAAGTTCTACCAATCACTATCATATTCAACGGTCACGGATGAACGAATTCTTATTAACTGCCACCAACATTATATTATTGTTATGCTGCTGACTCTGCTTTTTTTTTCTTCTTCTCTTTGCTTGTCACTGTCTCTTTCTTTCTCTTTATTTACCTGACTGACTGCAAAAACATTACCCATCAGTCGATTCGTCGCAAATCATGATGACACCCATCCATTATTCTTCTTCTTTACATACTTTCTCTATCTCTCTTGCCTTGTCTTTTCCATACATAGCGGCAAAACGACCAATGCTTTAGGCAGATCGGCGGCTATAGGAGAAAGAGAGTAAAAAAAAAGAGACAGATAAATATACGTGTACATATATAGTGGGATTGGTGCGTGTGGAATTGAAAATAAGCACCTTCGATTCTCTCTCTCCAATAGAATGTTTATATAAAAGACAGATAGGTGTGATGACAACTATGAATATACCCTACGGTAAAATATAAGCATAAAATAGTCATTCATTTTCAAGAGATACATCCGCCACACATCATAAATACGTACGCACGCGATTTGATTCTTAACGATTAGAATAACAACAGTAAATAAATGAAAAAAAAGAAAAAGGGAAGAAAAAAAACGAAAAAGAAAAGATCCCTGACGTACACTTTTCGTTGTAGGAAACATTGTTGCACATTCAAAGGATTGACAATGAGATGTTATACTTAAAGAAGGAGGTTGATAATAGTAGGAGGAAGCAAAGCCAATGTTCAGAGTAAACGTATGTGTGTGTGTGTACGTTTCTCTCTGACTCGGAATTTTGTCGTTGTATTGTGTCAACAATTGGGAGAAGAAGAAGAAAAAAACGAAAGAAACACGAACGAAATGAAGAACAAGAAGATGCGGAGAATCATCATCAGATGATCATATCGTTACTGTCGATGATACAGTGTACGATTGTCTTCTAAAGCTTGACATTTTTCGTAGCAGACACGTTCTTGGGAAGCGCGGGTGAATATAAAAGAGAGAAAAAAAACGATGACACATATAAAGAAAAAAGACAACGGGAACGAATAAGAACAAGAGCGGACTGCGAAAAAAGGTCAGAGATTATGGAAGAAGCCTACTATTACACAGAGTAAAAAAAAGGAAGAAGACGGTAGAAAGGGATTATTCCTTCTTATTCTTCTTTAACATGAACATTGTGTATATTGAAGAAGAGACATATGAATTCCAGAAAACAACGTTCTGCATGTTTACTTTCAGATTTAGTCTGTGAACGAAAATCTATGAAGTAAACAAAAAAGGAGATTACCTCTTTCCTATATATCATCATTATTTTCTTCCGTTTTCTTTTTACTCTTTCAATGACAACAATATTTTATTCTTATACTAACGAGAAAATGTTTCGAAGTGTCAAATCGTTTTTGAGCCAGGACTGTGTCTATCAAATGAAAAAAGTTCGAACTAAGAGTCTATCACTGCCGTGGCTTCCCTCAGAAAAATGAACTTTCGACTTGGAACTCTACATAGAGACAGATCTCAATGACAAACGCTTATTGTGAAAGTCTTAGGTATTTTTGATTGCAACTATTCGAAAATAAGGTGTGAAAAACATACTTGTATCATAGGTTTATCGTACGATAGAAGCAATCAAAAGATTTGAAACGTTTACAATAAACTATTCTCGTCAAGGCTTATGCAAGGCTTCAAGTCGAACATGAGTTTTTTTTTTTCTAGACTAAGGCATTCATTTTAAAAAATACTGTATCTCGGAAGTAATAAGCTGCTAGGCAGAATTCTTTTCAAGATATTCTTAGCTCATGTATAGTATATTGTACAGTTAGAATCAGTGATATAAGTTTGATTTATTTTAAAATAAATGAATTGTATATGGAACTTTATGTTTCTTTTGTTGACACAAGAAGGTAGTCAGCAGTTATAGACTGATAAAAACGATCTTATCTTTTAATGGCTGAAGAGAGAGCAGCACCACAGTATCTCACACATACTTCATTTTTAAAGACAATAAAGCGAGAAAAAAAATGAAAAAAGACATATATACATGCACTATGAAAAAAATAAAATAGAATTCGAATATAAGAAAAATTCATTTAATAAAACATACTTGACAATAATAATAATAATTGGAAACGAAAAAGAAAAATATGTATATATATGACGATACAATTTTGATTTCGTTTCGTTCGTTATGTTGTGTAAGAATCAAGATGATGATATATGATAGAATGGACTGTGACTACTGCTGTTCTGTGTTCTCTCTGCCACCACATTTTCTCTCACGTGGAGGACGTTTTCGGAAGAGCACAACTGCCATTTTACGATTACTAGCGGCAGAAGAAGAAGAATAGAAGAAAAGAGAAAAAAAAGAGACGAAAATTAAACTAAAGACAGCGACAAGCAAAAAAGGACGAAGAAGAAGAACAGTGCCATGATACATAATTTATGTCGCGTCTTGTTTCGCTTCATTGCTTTCAATGACAGAAAAAAAGAAGGAAATTTTCAAATTGGACATAGTTTTTTTCTTCTTCCTATTAAATTAGTCAAATTGTTTTTTTTGATTAAAACAAAATAAAAAGAACTTTCGTGAAATTGATATCTTTTTACCAAACAAATTTTATCGACCACCTATTGATAATGTACAATTCAATTAAAGAATATAAAATAGCTGATAAAGATCATATTATCTAATAAGAAGAAAATATTTGCAACAATTTTCAAAGCATTTGACCGAGATAAAAGAAGTGACATTTTTCTACTATTAACATTTTTATGTTAAAACATATTTAGGAGACATATACGTATACATATAATTATTTAGAAATTGAAATCAATTATGTACTAACGAAAATAAATTATCAAGGCTTTGTACAATTATATTAAGAGTCTTTGAATATCATATAAATAAATTTACATGTTTAGAGGACACAGCAAAATATTTGACCTATGAAATTGTGCTGTATTGGATTTTGAGATAGACTTACATACAAAAACTTTTATCGAAAAATCTCTAGTTTAGTTATTAATATTAATAAGTCTGTGCATTAATCGATATATAAAAATTTGTTTTAGTCAGTTTTTCAAATTTAGTGCAGTTAAGTTCTAGTATACACAAAGTTGATGTTTTTGATTACCAAAAGTATTCTAGGATGAGTTTTTTTAATCAGAAATAGAACAATTAATTATTCTCTAAATATTTTTTAATGAAATAATAAGAAATAAAGATTCTTATTCGAATAATTTAATTTGTCTTATCGATGATAATAATAAGAAAAAAGAAGAGAGAAACAAACGATCATAGTTCACTTGTATTTTATTTTATCATCGTTTATTATATTTTAAGCAATTTGGCAAATAGGATCTTTATAAACAGTGATCAATTGGTGAATTGAAATTGGACGACCACCAACACATTTGAATCCTTTTGCGCATGGACAACTAAAGGTTGATGCTGTTTCACCACTATGA